TTTGAAAAATGCAATGCCAAACTACATTTGAAGTTTCTAAAATTTGCTCAAGGACAAAGACATAGATTTATTTCCTCATATCTTCTGGATTTTAAGGATGTTAATAGATGACTTGCAATTGCTAAAATGGGTAACTTTTGAAATGAGCAGAGGTTTAAAGAAAAAAATATTAATAGAAAGCATGAAGAATTACATGGCTTTGAAAACAACTGGACACATGCTATTTATTTAACTACATTTGAGAATATTAGTGGTTGACTGAGCACTTTTGATGTGAATGGTTTGTAGAATCCAGCAGTCAAGGTTGTCACAATCTCTAAGGAATCATAATCTTCATTATGGACACTTTAAGGAAGTACATATTTAGAAAAATGTGAGAGGTTGCTTTGTTATTAATGAATATGCATATATTAATGGTTTTAGTCAATATGAGTTAACAGAATAAAAGTTATACTAGTCTAAGAGAATATACAAACACAAATATTCTGGGTTGGAGAAAGAATAAGCTTATGTAGCGATTAAAACATTTAAAAAATGTTTTAAATTTTAAGTTCTGCAAAATTACCTACGAGCTGTGGAAGGTGAGTTTGGAAAAAGGTGCTGTAACTTAAAAATTAAAGACTTCTGAAAATACAAAATTTACTTTCACACTTTAAGTTGAATGAAGTTACAGTGAGACTAATCAACAAAAAGAAAGCAAAGGAAATTTGCATTCCTTATACCACAAATGAACACATTTAGAAACACCAGTAACATGCACTAAATTAGAATAGAACCCCAATAAGCAAGGCAGTAAAAAAGGACTTTCAACAAATTAACTGAGACTAGGCTCAGTAGACCCTTATTAATTAATACTTAATTGAATTCAAAGTTATCCCTGAAACTGGGGTTTGCTTCACTAATCCTCTCTTCACCCAGACCAAGGAAACTGGGGAGAACTGGCTTGAGGAACTTGAACTCATTGGTTCCTGAGTCTCCCGTCAGACACACCTGGTACTGGTAGCTGTGCGACAGGGTCCCCGCGCCGCTGACGTCCAGCAGGTGGCCCGCGAAGGGGCCCTCGGGCAGCGAGCAGCCGCCCCCCGCCGCGGCCCGGCTCCTCCTGCCCAGCCGCACCGCCACGAACCCCAGCACCGCCACCAGCAAGAGCGACGACACCGACGCCAAGGCCACCACCAGGTGGACGGTGAGCGGGTCGGCCCGGGCCTCGGCCGCCGCCGCGGCCGGGAGCGGCAGGTAGGGCTGCGAGAAGCCGTCCACCAGCAGCACGTGCAGCGTGACGCTGGCCGACAGCGGCGGCTCGCCGTTGTCCTTGACCAGCACCAGCAGCCTGTGCCGGACGGCGTCGCGCGCGCTCAGCGGCCTGGCCGTGCGCACCTCGCCGTTGTGCGCCCACACGCCGAACAGCCCGGGCTCCGTGGCCCTGAGCAGCTGGTACGCCAGCCAGGCGTTCTGGCCCGAGTCGCCGTCCACCGCCACCACCTTGGTCACCAGGTAGCCCGCCTCGGCCGCCCTGGGCACCAGCTCGGGGCAGCGCGCCGAGCCGTTCTGCGGCGGGTACAGCACGAAGGGCGCGTTGTCGTTGGCGTCCCCCACCAGCACGCGCACCAGCGCCTGGCTGCTGAGCGCCGGCGAGCCGCGGTCGGCCGCGCCCACGCGGAACTCGAACGCGCGCAGCGCCTCGAAGTCCAGGGAGCTGAGCGCGAACAGCTGCCCGGTGGCCGCGTTGAGGGACACCAGCGAGGCCAGGGGCAGCCGCGGGTCGTGCGGCGGCAGCAGCGAGTAGGTGACCTGCGCGTTGGCGCCCGCGTCTCTGTCCGCGGCGCTCACGCGGCCGATGTGCAGGCCGGGGCTGTTGTTCTCGCGCACCCGCAGGGTGTAGGCGGTGTGGCTGAAGGCCGGCGCGTTGTCGTTCACGTCGGACACCGTCACCGTCATGTGGTGCTGGGTTTGCAGCCTGGGGGTGCCCAGGTCAGTGACGGTGATGGTGATGTTGTACTCGGCCTGGCTCTCTCTGTCCAGCGCTCCTTCAGTTACTAGAGTGTAGAAATTTTCTACAGTAAGTTTCAGAAGGAAGGGGAGATGGTCTGGGATGGAACACATCATTTTGCCATTTTCCCCGGAGTCTGGATCTGAAATTCCAAAAATAGCGACCACTGTATCAGGGGTGTTTTCTGGGATATCACTGGTGAATACTGACATAGTCAGTTCGGGCGTGTTGTCGTTTACATCCATCACTTCTATGGCTACAGAGCATTTTCCTGATAGTCCCCCGCCATCTGAAGCCTCAATTTCCATACGGTAAGATTGAATTTCCTCAAAATCCAACATTTTTTTTAATCGAATTTCCCCTGTGACTACGTTTATTTCAAAGGCCTGAATCACTTGATTTGAGGATTGGAAAAATGAGTAGGAGAGCTCTCCAAGAGTCCCAGCATCTAAATCTCTAGCAGTCACAGTGATGACAAGGGACCCTATAGGGCTGTTCTCTGGGATTTGCACCTCATAGAGCAGCTGAGCAAATTCAGGAGCATTATCATTTATGTCCAAGACTACGATGAGAACCTGAGAAGTCCCAGTTCTAGGCGGTGACCCACCATCCAGGGCCATGAGCGTTAACCTGAGCTCTGACTCTTCTTCCCGGTCCAGCGCTTTGTCCAGCACCAGCTCAGGGTATCTCCTGCCATCGCTGTGATTTCGAGTGAAAAGGTGGAAATGGGAGTTGGTGCTAATAGTGTAGTTCTGAACTGTGTTACTGCCCACGTCTAAATCTTGAGCTATTTTCAAAGGAAATGCAGTCCCTGGATGGCTGCTTTCTGAGATTTTCAGGAGGATTTCATTTTCCAGGAATTCTGGGGCGTGGTCATTTATGTCTCGTAGCTGTAGTTCACCTTTAATAAACTGCACTGGGCTTTTTAATAAGACCTGGAAATGCAGTATACATGGATCTGTGTCACCGCACAACTCTTCCCGGTCCAATTTTTCGTTTAGGAGCAAATTCCCACTCTTCTGCTCGAGCTGCAAATACTGTTGATTCCCTTTGGAAAGAATTCGAGCACCCCGCGCGGCCAGCTCCCCCAAGCCAAGCCCCAGATCTTTCGCGAGGTTGGCCACAAAGGAGCCGCTTTCCCTCTCTTCTAGAACCGAATACTTAATGGTCGTACTGCCCACTTCCCACCGTATTAACAGTATTAGGATAATAATGGAGCTCACTTGCCTTTTCTGCAGCGCTTTGGGTAGCATTGTCTCCATCGTTCTTCGGCGTCCAAAAGATGCAGTATTTAATCACAAAATAATTGCTGTGCAGCCAACTCTACTATCTTCATTCAATAATCTTGAGTTAGTTGCTAACATTGACTGACATGGGGATAGCGGCCTCTCTGAAACCTACCATCGCCCAAGAGTGTAAAACCTTTCCTTTTCAAGTAGCCGGAAACTGCTCAGCTGTTACAGAGGCTGCAGAGTTTTTCACTTTCTTAGCCTGCAGCGCCACCAAGCGTCCTGCCTTACAACTTCAGTTTTTGTTTTTTGGGGTGGGTTTTTTGTTGTTTTTCATTTCAAAGCATCATGCAACAGTTAAAACAAAAAGAAAGCCTTTTGGGTTATAAACTCCACTCCACCCCACTCTGCGGTATTCTTCAGGTAGCTAACAATATTTGTGAGAGCAAAAGTAATACTTACATATCTATATCTATATTCATCTTCCTTAAAGGTACAAGTTCAGTATACAAAACTCTGCTCAAGACAAATTCATTTATTCATTTAACCAGTATTTCTCTATGCAGGCAATTTTCTAGCTTCTGGAGATAAAATGGTAAATTAAACACAAAATTCTTGCTCTTGGGTGCTTACATTCAATTACAAAAAAATTGCTGTATTGTGTTAGAAGAAGTTATGAATTTTAAAATCCACTTTCTACTCCCAAATTGCAATGTGCCTGTAACTCCTGAAAAATTTTTTAAATGTGATTTCTTGTCAGTCTCTGGGCAATTTTTTCCTTTGTAAATTCACTCTGTGCAATGCCCAGTAAGACTAAGAGGAAATGGCCATTTGTTTTGTTAGAAATCAATGTAAGTTCAGAATTCAGACAATGTCTTTTCTACAAACATGTAGAAGGCAAAAAATTCAATGGAGTCAAAGATATACTTTCTTGGGAAGGGTTTTGATCTGTCAACATTGGACAGTGGCCCATCCCAGTGTACATCCCCTGGGACTATGGAAATGGGTATATTGAAAAACACCACGGCACCAACTAAAGTCAAGTGGTTGCAGTGACACTAGCAGGAAAAGTAGTTTCCCCCAGAGAAGAATGCTTTCCCAAGGAGGAGGGATAAGTATCTAAGAATACAAAACAGTAAGTGTTCCCTATAGTCATTGTACCAACTGGTAATCATCTATGACAGTTCACTTATTTGGACACAAACCTCAGCCAAATATAATTTAGTTAAGCCTAGGTCCATTTTAATTAAGGATAAGAATAAAATATTCACTCAGCTATCAGTTTAGTATAAATTACCTGACTTCAATGGAGAGTTGAAAAGAGAAATTTTTCTTAAGATACTACAAATAAAACCAACACAAGACAAATATGGCCTAAACTGTGAAAGTAAATGATTTTATGATTGATAAAGATTAATGATACTTACACAGCACTTTATTTATGACATTACCTAATAACCTGCCATTAATTACTTAGTTCTTGGCAGGTATCACACATGTAGAAGCTTGAGAAACTAGGAGGAAGAGTTTGAAAAATATAATTTGGGTTTTATTAAATAATACATTTTAAGGAGCACCTGAGTGACTCAGTCGGTTAAATGTCTGCCTTCAGCTCAGGTCCTAATCCCAGGGTCCTGGAATCGAAACCTATAGCTTGCTTCTCCCTCTCCCTCTGGTTTCTTCTCCCCCTCCCTCTGCCTGCTGCTCCCCCTGCTTGTGCTCTCTCTTTCTCAAATAAATAAATAAAAACTTTAAAAATATACATTTGAACTTTCAAATTGATAGACAAAGACAAGGAGATAAAATGTACTCTCAACATTTTATATTCTGTAATAGAGTTTAGGGTGTGTGGAGGGTGGTTTCCGTTTAGAAAGAAAGTAAAAGAATGATATTTAATTTCACTTATTGACAAAGGTAATGCATTGTGGAGAGAATATTAACATTTTTCTATATTCCTTGAAAATAAACCTTTGAAATTCACTGTTGGAATGTTAGTAACATTCATCAAATATTTATTATGCATTTATAACTGACTTGGTATTATTTAAAAATACTATCATAAGCTTACATGCAGCTCACAAACTGGAGTTTAATTTATTGACACTTTTGTGCAAAGTTTATATGCATAGAAAAATGTATTGACTATTATGGTATATTGAAATACACATAAATATGAATGGTTGTCTTAGCATTTAGCCATCTTTAGTGTTTATCTTTAATTATTCACATTGTAGCCATTACCCCAAAATGAGACTTTCACTGGCAGATTAAGTAATATCAAATACTCACATTTTATTTTATGTGTTTTGTTTTTAAAGATTTTATTTATTTATTTGACAGAGAGAATGAGAGAGAGAGCACATGAGAGGGGGGAGGGTCAGAGGGAGAAGCAGACTCCCTGCCGAGCAGGGAGCCTGATGCGGGACTCGATGCGGGACTCGATGCGGGACTCGATGCGGGACTCGATGCGGGACTCGATGCGGGACTCGATCCAGGGACTCCAGGATCATGACCTGAGCCGAAGGCAGTCGCTTAACCAACTGAGCCACCCAGGCGCCCATTATTTTATGTTTTTAAAGTAGGCTCTATGCCCAGTATGGGGCTTGAACTCACCACCGAGATCAAGAGTTGCATTTTCTACCAACTGAGCCAGCCAGGCACCCCCAAACACTCACACTTTAAAAATTTCCCTACATGGTAATGGTGATGACAGTTGTCACCAATAGTTAGATATACAATCTTACTTAAGGGCTTTGTATTACAATTTTTCTAAGACGAATAGAAGATTAAATTTCAAAAATTTTAAATTATGCAAATAAAAATTTACTTTTTATTCGGATTGTCAAATATAGTTGAGAGTAATACAAATCTACTAAGCATGATATAGGGAAAACACTGTACATACCCAGTATCTGATTTTTTTTCAACCTAAGGAAGTGTAGTAAAATAATTAAAAAACAAACTATCGATAACATTTAACTAAGTTAAAAGATTTTCAAACTAAGTAGGGCTTAATAGGATAATCCAATACTTAACTGAATAGGAAACTATCACGAACCATGGGGTTTTCCTCAATTTCCTTTCCAGTGCCCTGAGGAGGGAAGTTGGGAATAATGGGCTTGAGGAACTTGAACTCATTGGTCCCAGATCCTCCCGTCAGACACACCTGGTACTGGTAGCTGTGCGACAGGGTCCCCGCGCCGCTGACGTCCAGCAGGTGGCCCGCGAAGGGGCCCTCGGGCAGCGAGCAGCCGCCCCCCGCCGCGGCCCGGCTCCTCCTGCCCAGCCGCACCGCCACGAACCCCAGCACCGCCACCAGCAAGAGCGACGACACCGACGCCAAGGCCACCACCAGGTGGACGGTGAGCGGGTCGGCCCGGGCCTCGGCCGCCGCCGCGGCCGGGAGCGGCAGGTAGGGCTGCGAGAAGCCGTCCACCAGCAGCACGTGCAGCGTGACGCTGGCCGACAGCGGCGGCTCGCCGTTGTCCTTGACCAGCACCAGCAGCCTGTGCCGGACGGCGTCGCGCGCGCTCAGCGGCCTGGCCGTGCGCACCTCGCCGTTGTGCGCCCACACGCCGAACAGCCCGGGCTCCGTGGCCCTGAGCAGCTGGTACGCCAGCCAGGCGTTCTGGCCCGAGTCGCCGTCCACCGCCACCACCTTGGTCACCAGGTAGCCCGCCTCGGCCGCCCTGGGCACCAGCTCGGGGCAGCGCGCCGAGCCGTTCTGCGGCGGGTACAGCACGAAGGGCGCGTTGTCGTTGGCGTCCCCCACCAGCACGCGCACCAGCGCCTGGCTGCTGAGCGCCGGCGAGCCGCGGTCGGCCGCGCCCACGCGGAACTCGAACGCGCGCAGCGCCTCGAAGTCCAGGGAGCTGAGCGCGAACAGCTGCCCGGTGGCCGCGTTGAGGGACACCAGCGAGGCCAGGGGCAGCCGCGGGTCGTGCGGCGGCAGCAGCGAGTAGGTGACCTGCGCGTTGGCGCCCGCGTCTCTGTCCGCGGCGCTCACGCGGCCGATGTGCAGGCCGGGGCTGTTGTTCTCGCGCACCCGCAGGGTGTAGGCGGTGTGGCTGAAGGCCGGCGCGTTGTCGTTCACGTCGGACACCGTCACCGTCATGTGGTGCTGGGTTTGCAGCCTGGGGGTGCCCAGGTCAGTGACGGTGATGGTGATGTTGTACTCGGCCTGGCTCTCTCTGTCCAGCGCTCCTTCAGTTACCAAGGTGTAGAAATTCTCGACTGATGGTCTTAGAAGAAAGGGGAGATTGTCATCTATAGAACAAATAACCTGTTGATTTTGTCCAGAATCTGCATCTGACACACTGAAAACTGCTACTATGACCTCTGGCAGGTTTTCGGGGATGGGACTGACGAGGGAGGACATGGTCAGTTGAGGAGCGTTGTCATTTACGTCCAGAACCTTGATGACTAAAGAGCATTTTCCTGATAGTCCCCCGCCATCTGTAGCCTCAATATCCACGTGGTATGATTGAAATTCCTCAAAATCCAAAGTCTTTCTCAGTCGAATTTCTCCTGTAATTGCGTTTATTTCGAAGGGTTGATTAACGTCATCTCCCTGAAATAGGGCATAAGATACCTCCCCAAAGGATCCTGCATCTAAATCTGTCGCTGAGACGGTGATAATCAGGGAGCCTAGGGAATTGTTTTCAGGGATTTGTGCCTCATAGAGTTCCTGAGCAAATTCGGGAGCATTGTCATTGATGTCCAAGACCAGGATCTGAATCTCCGTGCTCCCAGACCTGGGCGGAGACCCACCATCCAGCGCTGTGAGGGTAAGCCTTAGTTCGCGCTGCTCCTCGCGGTCCAAGGCTTTGTCCAGCACCAGCTCCGGGAACTTCCTGCCATCGCTGCGATTGCGAGTGAGAACGTGAAAATGAGGATTGGAGCTGATTATATAGCTCTGAAGACTGTTGTTACCAGCGTCTAAATCCTGTGCCATTTTCAAAGGAAATAGCTTTCCTGGTGTAGTAATTTCTGATATTTTTAGTAGCATTTCTCTGGCTGGGAACTCTGGGGCGTGGTCATTTATATCTCTGACTCGTAAAGCAGCCTGAAAAAACTGCAAGGGATTTTCCAGTAACACTTGAAAAGGTAGCACGCATGGCTCAGTGGAGCCGCACAGCTCTTCCCGGTCCAGTTTCTCATTTAGCAGTAAATCATAGGTCTTTGGGTCAAGCTGCAAATACTGTCTGTTCCCCTTGAAAACAACCTGGGCACCACGCGCAGCCAGTTCTCCTCTCCTGAGTCCCAGGTCCTTTGTCAAATTGGCCACAAACGTGCCAGTTTCTGACTCCTCCAGTACAGAATATTGAATCGATTCTGAACCGGCTTCCCACAAAAGCACCCATATAATGAGAATTGCCACTTGCCTTTTCTTGCGATGTACTTTTGTTCTCGCCATCTCCATTATGTCTGATCCCAGAGGAAAAAATCTTTTTCCAGTCCCCATCATCACGTCCACCACCGACCCTCCGAAATGTCTTTACTGTTGAATTTCGAATTCGTCTTATAACTTGTCTGGTGACGAGTGCCTTCCTGAATACTACTATCTTAGCTCCAGCTGTAAGTGTGTTCTGTATTTGGGGGGGCTTCTGAATAAAATGGAGTCCACCGAATCTGCAGAGCTCTTATTCACTCTCTTAGCCTGCACTGCCACCACGCGTTCAAATTAATAACTTCAGGAGGTGCATACAGGCAATACCATTTCCAAAATCTGAGCCTTATAAAGACTTTCAGGTGGAGTTAGTGTTTTTCAGATTGTAGTGTGTGAACCATATGCATAAATAATTACTTGGGAGTCTGAGTTGTTTTTTTCCAGGTTGACTCCTGGGTTTCCCTCCAGACCTTGAATGAAATTCTCTGGTGGTGCTAAGGGCTGAAAATCTGCACTTCAATCTCTCTCTTTAAGTGATTCTCGTGCATACTAATGTTTAGGAATCACACCCTCAGGTAATGTAAACCTGTAAAACCAATTTTTATTCTTTGGCAGTGAAATTTATCTCTGATGAGTAGTGTGATTTGTGAATCCAAAAGTACACTATTTAATCGTCCCAACAAACAAGTCAATAAACTATACAAAATGTAAAAGTTGGTTAGCAACACCAATTATAAAATAAACAATTATTTCTCTAAGTTATATGGCTCATAAAATGGCATGAACAACAAGACTTAACTTATTTTGTGGTTACACCTGCACAGTAAGGGGAACAATTAAGCTATTAGGAGGAAAATTGAGGCCAACACATACTTATGATAGAAGTATCTGATTAATTAAATTATTTAAAAGGGTAACTAGTGGGGCACCTTGGTGGTGCAGTCAGCTAAGCGTCAGACTCTTGGTTTCAGCTCATGTCATGATTTCAGAGTTGTGAAATAGAGCCCCCAGATGGCTCTGAGCTCCTGAGCTCCCTGCGAGTCAGCTTAAGACTCTTTCCCTCTCCCACTGCCCCTCCCTGCTGCACTCTTTCTCTCAAATAAATAAATAAATCTTTAAAAGAGGAACAAGCAACAATCAGTCTGTCATAAGTAGGCATTTTAGGATTTTACTTCATTTTTTATGGGTAGAATTGGTCATGATTTTATTAGTTTTGTTCATTTTATTATAACTTTTAAATCAAATTTCCCTCCTATATTAATTAATTAATGAAGGCCCAAATATATTACCATGTTGTAAGGACATAATGCAATGCAGAATACAAACATTCAAGAATCACCTCTATCATCCTCTCACAACAAGGATGACGCTAGTTGCTATTATAAATAGACACTAAGTAAGATAGTGAATTACATTTGAGTGGATTCCATAGAATTCAATGATGGTTCACCATGGCTATATCCATTTCTATCTCACCATTTTCTGCTCAGATAAATAGGAAAATATGTCTTTAAATATCCTCAAAATATATGAAATGGGTCAGTGCACATATAAGAACACAAAATGTGCCAAACATAATCTCATCTCAGATTGATTTCATAATTCTTGAGAGGTGAAATCAATTGAGTTCAACCAAAGTTCACTTCAGGTAAGAGCCAAAGTGATGGAAGATAAAAATGAGGATATTTTTCAAGATGTTTCAACTCTAGGTAAAATAAGTAAAGCTAAATAAAGTCTAAACTCTGAACAGATGAAATAATTTTGTAGTTAAAAAATATCTCTACCTACCCAGAAGGATAAAAAATAAAATCACTGTGACCAGCCTCCATGGTTCACTTGATAAATGTTACTGAGAATAGACTTCCTTGAGAGTATGAATAACAAGATAAACTGGTGAAGTAAAACCAACAATCATAAACATATTAGATGGGTTTAGTTTCTTCTTTGAAACAAAGTTATTTCCAACTCATTCCTTCCTTCGATGGGCATTCTGATTCCAGCTTGATGGCATCCCTGCCATTTGTGTGGTCCTTTGAGCTCTCTCTTTGCCTGCACTGACACCAGAAATCTTCACATATAGCTTACTGAATTATTTTTCACTTTAAAGCAAATTTTACTAGCAGTACAGTATCTGTGATACTCAATTGGGACATTGAAATGTCTTTGAGAATGTTGCTTGTTATGACAGAGAGGAAGAAGATAGTATCTTAATGTATCATCCAAGGCTATCAGTTGGTATGTGAAGACACTGCCTTTTTATGGAAATTGATTATTTTAGATTCTTTCAGGAGAGTGCTTCTCTGTTTTATTCTCTTTCGCTTTCCTTTGCTAGAGTAGAACTGAATTGAATTTATAAACTTGTCTCACAAGTAGTAACTCACTAACATTTGTGGAAAAAGTTCAACACATACAAAGCAAACAGCATAACTTCCATTTACACGTCATCCAGCTTCACAACATCTTGTCTCATTTCATCTATAACTTCCCCTCCACTTCCCACTCAATGTTTTTGTACAGGTCTTTTCTTAAGGTAATGTTTACACAAATTGAAATGCATCAGTCTTAACTATATAAATGGATCCATCCATGTAACCCACACCTCTTTCAAGATACAGACTATTTTCATCATTCATTGGGAATCTTCTTAATCATATTTTCCAGCTTAATTTTAATAATTAGGTGGCAAAAACTTGGTCTCCTCTGGACACAACATGGAAAGGTAAACAATGTAAAAAACCACCAAGCCCTATGTCATTATGCTCATGTACGCTTATGTGAAGTGACAGATCATTAAGATTAATTTTACTGATTATTACCAGTGACCTGAAATAATACTTTGATGAACTATTGTAAAGTATATTAAACTTAATTTTATTTAGTAAGCTTATAATTATTGCATAGCTGATCAAGCTGGTTTCCATTTTTATGCTACAAATGTTTGTTTTCCTTTCATTCCATTATAAATTTTAAAAATTCTTCAAGTTCTAAATGTGAGAATCCATCAAAATCCTACAGGAGAACCTCTTTGGCCTTGGCTGCAACAACTTCTTGCTAGACATGTCTCCAAAGGTAAGGGAAACAAAAGCAAAAAATGAACTATTGGGACTTCAAGATAAAAAGCTTTTGCACAGGGGCGCCTGGGTGGCTCAGTCATTAAGCGTTTGCCTTTGGCTCGGGTCATGATCCCAAGGTCCTGGGATTGAGCCCCGCATCAGGCTCCCTGCTCGGCGGGAGGCCTGCTTCTCCCTCTCCCACTCCCCCCGCCCCGCTTGTGTTCCCTCTTTCGCTGTGTCTCTCTCTGTCAAATAAATAAATAAAATCTTAAAAAAAAAAAAAAAAAGCTTTTGCACAACAAAAGAAACAGTCAACAAAACCAAAAGACAACCGACAGAATGGGAGAGGATATTTGCAAAATCTTTTCAGATAAAGGGTTAGTATCCAAGATCTATAAGGAATTTATCAAACTCCACACACCAAAAATAAATAATCCAGTCAAGAAATGGGCAGAAGACATGAACAGACATTTCTTAAAAGAAGACATACAAATGTCCACCAGACATGTGAAAAAATGCTCAACATCCCTCAGCATCAGGGAAATACAGATCAAAACCACAATGAGATACATCAGATCAGTCAGAATGGCTAAAATTAACAAGTCAGGAAACAACAGATGCTGGTGAGGATGTGAAGAAAGGGGACCACTCTTACACTGTTGGTGGGAATGAAAGCTGGTACAGCCACTCTGGAAAACGGTATGGAGGTTCCTCAAAAAGTTGAAAACAGAGCTACCCTACGACCCAGCAATTGCACTACTAGATATTTATCCAAAGGATACAAACATAGTGATCCGAAGGGGCACCTGCACTCCAATGTTTATAGCAGCAATGTCCACAATAGCCAAACTATGGAAAGAGCCCAGATGTCCAACAGATAGATGAATGGATAAAGAAGATGTAGGATATATATACAATGGAATATTACTCAGCCATCAAAAAATGGAAATCTTACCATTTGCAATGACATGAATGGAACTAGAGGGTATTATGCTAAGTGAAATAAGTCAAATCAGAGAAAGTAAATTTTCATATGATTTCAATCATATGTGGAATTTAAGAAATAAAACAGAGGATCATAAGGGAAGGGAGGGAAAAATAATATAAGATGCAATCAGAGAGGGAGATAAACCATACAAGACTTAAGTATAGGAAACAAACCGAGGGTTGCAGTTAGGGAGGAGGGTGGGGGGATGGGGTAACTGGGTGATGGGCATTAAGGAGGGCACATGATGTAATGAGCACTGGGTGTTATATGCAACTGATGAGTCACTGAACTCTACCTCTGAAACTAATAATACACTATATGTTAATTAATTGAATTTAAATAAAATTTTAAAAAACAAAAAAATTAAAAAAATAAAAATTCTTCAAGTTTACTAAAAATGAAAGACAAAGATTAACCTTCAAGGTTAGGCTTCCAAATCTTCTTTAATTTTGTTATGAATCTCTTAAAAAATCTTATTTAATTTAGCTATATCCAAGGAAAAACAATACTTCAGGGCAAAGATGGAAATATATAAGCAATCACTTAAAGAACCCTCTGAATTGATGGGAGAAATGATGCAGAAAAGTTTGAAAATATAAAGGATTTGAGGGGCTCCTGGGTGGCTCAGGCAGTTAAGCTTCCAACTCTTGATTTCATCTCAGCTCATGATCTCAGGGGTGTGAGATCATCGAACCCCATGGCTCTGCACTGGGCATGCAGCCTGCTTAAGATTCTCTCTCTCTCACAGACAGTAGTTTCAGTTCTGATGGTATAAGCAAAACAAATAAAACATGTTTATAAAAGTTGTATCTTGAAACACTGGTGTTCAACAGCTAGCAGCTTATGTGGTTCACCCCATGCATTGTTAGTGTTTCAAATTTTAATGGTTATCTCCAGCAGCTATTTCTGTAGTAGTTGCGTTTATCTTTTGTCTAACCCTAACTGAATTATCTTTTTCTCATGGAGGCGTTTATATTCAAAGTGGTGATTCTTTCCCTTAGATGCATAGGGAGAGTCACAAGTTTGATGGAGATGACAGTTTAGTAATTTATGTACTGTTGGAATTTGTGCTAGCAGCTTGAGCACTTGTTCTGTGTGCCTATGAACTTAATGCTGCTTGTCATATCCCACTTTGACTTCATGGAGAATGAATCCCATCTATTCAGCAAAGGCTACTAATACTAAGTGAATGGTATTTTCTGTGTGGAAACTGAATTTTGTTTTATTAGCCTTTAGCTAAGGAATTTTTCCACTAGGTGCTCAGCTACTAAAGAAAAACAAAAAACAAGACACAAAACTATTCTCAAACATTCATTATTAGACAACTGGAGTTTTTGCTGGTTTTGTAACCTACTAAAATGGATAGGCTGTTGAACATTTCACATTCAAAAGTTTTTTGTAGGATGGTGGGGAAGGGGGGGTATCTTCAATGTTTATTTTAAAATAAAAGAAGTTCTTGACTTAAAAAAAAAAAAAAGATTCTCTCTCCCTCTCTCTCTCTCTGCCCCTCCCCCGCTAAAAAAAAAACAACAAAGAACCAGCTTTTTACTTCACTGATTTTCTCTATTATTTTTATTTTGGATTTCATTGGTTTCTTCTATTATTTTTATTATTTCCTTCCTCCTGCTTCTTCTGCTTGCTTTGGGTTTATTTTCTGTTCTTTTCCTAGATTCTTGAGGTGGGAGATTAGATAATTGATTTGAGACTTTTCCTCTTTTTTAATGTATGCTTGTAATGTTATAGATATCCCTCTCTGCACCGCGTTAGCTGTGTCTTACAAATTT